TCGCGCGATTTGAATTTTCAAATCCCGGCGAGGCTATATAAATTACCTACTTTGCGCTCGAAGAGAAGTTCTAAGCGGAAATCGTACCGTTACCTCTTTTTATTTTATTTTTTTATTATTCCGTTTTATTTTATTCCCCCTGTCGCGGGTAACTCGACATTGTTGTGTAGCGGAAAGCAGAAGGAGCAGAAGAAGAAGAAAAAAGAAAAAAAAAACGTTGACCCGCGTGAAACTCGCTGCGTCTTATAGCTGAAAACTTAAACGACACCCCTGCCACGAATTAGAACACTGCAGCGCGTCTGGCAGTAATCGTGACAGTATTGTTGAACAACAAAATCCAGTGGCGGTAAAATAAAAAGTTACGTGCACTCGTAAATCAAAGGATTTCGGTTTTTTTATTCTTGTTTTTCGCTACCTTCCACTGATCCACTTCGCCGATTATCGAGAACCCCGTTGTTATGTATAATACGCGTGTTGTAGTACTTTTAATTCTTTTTTTTGTGTAATTACAAAGGCTCCGACTGTACGACTGCTGTAAATATCATGTAATATTTATGATATTTTACATTTGAAGTATCTGTGCCGCGAAAAATTCAATTTTCATTTAATGCTTCCACCAACCCACCCGGGCACCCGCAATCAGTCACACAGGCAACGCATTTCCTACACGAGCATGCATTTTGGTACCATTGCACCGAAATATTATACATGTTTTCTTACAAAGGATATGCGTTTTAATATTAAATATTACATATTATAATCATTGGTATTAAGTGCACCCGGTCGTTATAATTATTATGCGCTGCAATTCGATTGGTCGTCCGTAATTACTAGTCCTATATATGATTCATTGCACACGAATTAAAACCGTGTCAACATATATAACGAACGATCATTTCGATGCAAACACGGTTCAGATTTATTTTTCCGTGCGTTAATGTGCATGATAAGTACGTAATATGCAAATTAAATACAAAATCAATAGATGTGACTGTATTAAGATGTTAAATGTCTCGAAATAAATCCATTTAAAATTACCACTGTTTGAATATTAATTATAAGTCTCGTGAAACACTTCTAATTTAGATAATTATATACAATGGAAATTAAACGCCATCGGTTAAGTGGACACGTTTCAAAACGAAACGTAACGGAATATATTTTTGTATCAGGATGGATTTCGAAACATTTTATATTTAAAAAGTACAACAATGACCATCGTTCTCTTTATCCGTCGTTGCAGTGCCGCAACCGGTGCAACGCACAACTTTAAACACAAATATTGTGTGTTATGCATTTGAATGTTTTACTATCGATGCTGTTGACGTCCATTATTTTAGTACTTGAAAACTTTTTGATATCTGCCAAATCGATTTAAATGTGTATTATATATAGATATATATATAGTGTTCGTTCATCGTTGTAAAAATGATTCCGGAATTGATGTACATATACGGTTATTTGACAAGATTCATAATACATGGCTCGTAACGCAAACAGTTTAAATTTAATAAATACGTATTCGTTCCGAGTCGGCAATTATTGAGCTTCACGGTCGTACGAATCTTTTTTCGGCTATGATTCATTGTCACTATAACGTTTAAAACGGTGACACATCCGTTCAATTATTGAACGAAATCTACATGAAATAACAGGAACATTTTGAATACGTTCGTATTTCAAGATGAAACGAGCTCGATTGCATATGAATGGAACGGAATGAAACGACCGTCCAGCGTGCCATGTCATCAGTGATATTATTTTATAATCGTATTAAATAACATTATGATTACACTGTAGTTGTCTGCAATTTGACACTGAACAGCGTAAGAATTAATAATTTATTGCGACGAGAAAAACAAATATGTACGCACTAGTAAAATATTAGATTAGAGTATTACTCGCTATACATATTTGTACACAACTACGTCGAGCTTAAGTCCATACGTGTGTTGTGCAAACAATAACGAGGATGAGAACGGACGGAAAAGAGAAAATTTTTAAATTTGAAATAACAGTGTATTTTGTGTAATACGAATTATAAATTAATCTGTGACGTAGGTAATCCTTAATAGGGTTGGTCGTAAGTATTACTTTTCCGGTGTTGTAGATACGTGTATACTATATTGAGAACACTATATTATAAGTTTGCGTAGGGGAGAAAAACTAGAAAAACTAAACGTACCACGTGTACACGTAATATTCTAAGCACGTACGGATATGAAATTTGCATTAACAAAAAAAAAAAAAAATGTCACTAGAATAAGTAATTTGTTGGGAATACACTGTATGTTTTTAGAACGTATATAAAATTGAGAAAATAAATATAAAAATAGAGCGGTTCTTAAACTTTGAACTTAAATGGGAATAAAACCAGACCGCGCGCCTCGCAGCTTTGAGCTTTCTTATATAACAATAACCATCATGAGCGTTCGTCCTACGCACGCCATTCGGCGATAAACATAATATCTCGGGACGTTTAAGTTCTAAACAACAATCGATCCTATGCAATTACGAACTAATCGTATAATCGTGTTAACTGCAAGTTACATGGATATTCAACTGATAGTTATCGACGTATAGCGGTGCGTGAAACTCGTTTAAAACGGAATCCGCCGAGACTGTACCCAATAAAAATGAATGACAGGTCGGAGGTTTTTATCATGAGAGTTGGTTCTCTTTTACAGGTTTTCATCTTAAACATAGAGTCTGAACGATATAGTTTCAGAAAACGTGCACTGAGTGGTTTTCTTTTTGTACAGCAGTAACTTTTTCGATAAATTTATGTGTTTCTGGAAAATTATGTTTATACAACTGTTGAAGTCACAACACTAAGGATACCGAGAGCCCGGACCAGACGTATGTTTATTAAAAATATGTACGCCAATCAACGGTACGTTCATACACTTAATTCAATGCAAACTAAGAATATCCAAAGATCTGAAATTCCGGATATTTCAAACCGGATTTGTCGAAATATTCGAATTGTCCAGATTTGTATTTGTTAAAATAATTTTTATACTGCTTAAAATTTGTATTTTTTGTGATTTATAATTATTTTAAATTTCTAGTAAAATAAATCATTTTATTTTTTTGTAGTTAAAATATAACAAATTAATTATCCACAAATTTTCACTTCCTCCACTCCCTCCATTTATACGACTGAAATGTATACTGCCTATGAAGCTCTTAAAATTGCCTCCACCCTCGGATCCTTATTCCTTCACAATTATCAGGGACTCACAAAGCGTCATAACATCATTTAAAAATCTCAACTCAAAAAACAAGCTAGTGCAACTCATTCAAGAACTGTAATCAAATTCATATAAACCGATTACGTTTATGTGGGTCCTCTTACACATTGAGATTCCGGGCAACGAAAAAGCAGAGAAAAACGCAAGCGAAGCCACATCATGTCAAAACGTTTTAAAAATAAGCCAAACCACATCTTCAAAAGCACACACTACCTTATGGTGGTGTACCTCAAAATGATGGTAACATGGCAGAAAATTTGAAATAATGTTCCACTTTCAAATAAATTAATACTTTCCATCAAAAATGGATTTTCCCTTTGTCCCTTAAAAGAAGAGTAGAAGTAATTTTAACCCCGACCAGAATAGGTACACTTATTTAACACAATCTTTCCTAATTACCAAATAACCAGCGCCAACTTGCAACAATTCAAGGAAATCCAGTAAATCGATCGCATTGTTACTATATGTTCAAAAGACGCCAAAGCACGAAAAATTTTCATCAATTCAACGTCTCTCAAGCAATCACTTAACGGAAAAAACACTGAAGCAATATACCAAACTTTCAATAATTTAACCATCATTTCACCCGTCATTGGTACACATGTGAGCCACTCACACAGATAGAATTTCGAGGGTTGTTCACATAAATATTATCAATTTAATTTATTAGTATGAGTACCTTTAAATAACATGTCTATAAATGTTTACAGAAATAAGTAATAGGGCTATTTTTTATTTTCGAATAGTTATCGTTTGACAAAGTCAAGAGTACCGATTATGTGAGCTTTTCGCTAACACTGTACTTATATACTTACACTGATATTTTTGTTACCCCCGCAATCGATTACATACTAGTGTTTCTATTTTTTCCCCCAATCTTGGCCAATTAATTTTTTTTTCGTTGAAGGAAATAATTGTACATTTTTTAGAAGACTTCGGCGATACCGATGCTCTAGTGATGGAGATCCCGTAGAATTACGTGAAATTGAGCCGGGTGTGAACCATTTCTGAACCTACACCTAGTATAAGTACAAATAGATCAGGCACTCTGCATACCTCTCATTCGAGAATAAATATAATACAATAATAAAATTACATATAATTAATCATCGTTTACATGAAATCATTTCGTAGATCAATTGGGTAATATGTTGCGTGGCACTATGGAAGGAACACAACACGAGCACATGCGTATTTTTATTTGATCAATTATTATTAGTACATAAAAAATACATTATAACTTTTAGTAAAGGATAAAATATTGTACATATTGTACATATTGTACGATTTGATTTCTAAAGTTAATCGAACAGTAAATAATGCTTTAATAAATAAAGTGCGAGCGCGCGCTCACAGTGTAGCAATCGTGTTACGAATTATATGTCACATAAAAGTCACATTGTATATAATGTGTGGACCAAGACAGATTAAGTTATAAAATGTAAATACATGTAAATAGTGTATCTCCACCCTCATAACCTCTTATTTTGGCTCTACATAGGCTAATAATCTTTGTTATTGAAGCCTTAACTTTAAATAAAAAAAATTAATAAAAAATTTACTCTGGTAGGTTTGATCATGCAATTAAATTAAATTATTTCCATGGTTTCGTATTATCTGAACAATTAATTTATGATATGAAATTGTCAACGTTTCTATAAGGTCACAAATATATTTAACAAATTGCACAAAATATAACGAGTGAAATACTCAGGCGTATTGAATTACACTATGTACATACGCAGAATGGAGTACTCTTATGAAATTGAATTATATTTCTATATGGACATTGGACAGCTTTAATCTATTTTCTTCGTCAAAGCAAAAAGTATATATAATGTGCAGATAATACATTGGAACCGTGATAACTCGAACCTCTATAAGTCAAATTGTCGATGAATCGAAGGAATTCCTTAGTCCCTGCCTTACAAAATATGATATGTGTGATAAATTTCTTCGATAATTTGAATTTTTTGGTAAGTCGAAGTAATTTCAGTTGAATTTTAGCTTATAACTCGAATTTTTGTTCAGCATATATTACCGAAAATTACTGAAATACTATGTAATATAACACGTACAGATCTAGATAACACAAAGGTCAAATAATGAAGTGTATTTTTATATATAATGATAATTGTAATTGTTTACCAATCGTAAACTGATTAATATTATCAATCTAATGTTTAATAATTCTAATTACCTAATGTTTAAAAGTTATTGTAATTATAGTTATTTAACAAATTTTATGACGATGAGGAACTGTCTTTACTTAAAATTACTCATGCCCAGACATTAGATGTTATATAGATTTTACTTAAATATATTCAAGAACAACGAGACATTTCAGACAACATTTTTTTTGCGATAAATGTAATTTAAAACTTTACAGATAGGTCCTTATCAAACAATAAAAAATATCTAATTTTTCCAAAAATAATTCTACTATAGGTATCTATCTATCTATCTATTTATCTATCTATACTATATATAAAATTGTAAGGGTTTTTCTTCGACCGCGCTAATCGAGAAAACTACTGAACCGATTTGGCTGAAATTATTTTTGGCTGAAACCCGACACTCTGCTGAAGGTTTTAGTACCACTTTTGTCGGTAAAAAAGTTCATAAAAGTTCATAAAAAACTAAAAACAATTGTACTTATATTGTATATACCTATATATATGTACCTATACCAAACTAAAAAAGTTTATGCATGTATTAAAAAATAAATATATTTTCGGAGATGTAAATTGTTATGTTTACAGTGTTGAATGGCAAAAACGAGGTTTGCCAAACTACCACATTCTTTTGTGGTTACAAACGAAAATTCAGCCAGATGAAATTGAAAAAATTATTTCTGCCGAGATACCAAACAAAGACAGAGATCCTATACTTTATGAAATAGTATGCAAGAATATGATTCATGGCCCATGCGGCGAGTTAAATATTAGATCTCCATGTATGAATTATAGAAAATGTAGTAAGAAATACCAGAGATCACCAGATGATGGAGGTTATACTGCAATATTAAAAGTTCGTGGTCAAACAGAAATCGTGGTTGACAACCGTTGGGTTGTACCGTATTGTCCAGTGCTATCTAGGTGCTTTAATGCGCATATTAACGCAGAATACTGTCATTCGGTTAAAGCGATGAAATACACATGTAAATATATTAATAAAGCATCAGATAGAGCTACTTTTTCTGTTAATCGTGAAAACGATGAGATTACAAATTATTTGAATGGTCGATACATACATATGTATTTCTGAAGCGTTTTGGAGAATTTTCAATTTTGAAATCCATGATAGAGACCCGACAGTTCAGCACTTGGCTGTTCATCTAGAAAATGGACAGCGTGTTTTCTTTAATGCTAATAATCTTCATCAAGTTATTGAAAATCCAAGAAAAACGACACTAACTGCATTTTTTGAACTGTGTTCACATGATGATTTTGCGAAAACACTGTTCTATCATGAAGTTCCTTCTTATTATACCTGGAATGATAGCAGATGCTGGTTAAAGAGAAGACGGGGAAAAGATGTTCCAGGTTGGCCAGGAATAAAAATGGACACTGCCATTGGTAGAATTTACACGATTCACCCAAATCAAAGTGAGTGCTTCCATTTAAGATTGTTACGAAATTATGTACAAGGTCCTACTTCATTTGAAAGCTTGAAGGCCTTTGATGGAGTCATTCACGCGACTTTTAAAGCTACCTGCTTTGCTCTTGGACTTTTAGAAAATGATGAGCAATTGAAAAATGCTCTAGCGGAGGCAACTCTTTCAAAAAGTCCTTCAAAATTAAGATAATTATTCGGAATAATCATAGTTTTCTGCCAACCATCTGAACCTCAATCATTGTGGGAACAGTTCAGAAATGATTTTTGTGAAGATATTCTTCATACAGAGCGCACTCGATTAAATTATTTACAATTTACTTTTTCTGATGAAATATTTAATAGAGGTTTGATTGAAATAGAAGATAAAGTTGTTTGTCTGTCTGAAAAATATTTAACTGAATTTGGAATGAACTCATCTGTTCGAAATGAAAATGCATCTGATCCTTTTGAATTCTCAATTTTGCGTTCTCACGATAATAACCGATTACAAGAATTTGTAGAAATCAATTTACCAAAATTATTAAATGATCAAAAATATGCTTTTAATGTTATTACAGAAAGCGTAATGAATCATCAAGGAAGAGTTTTTTTTTAAATGCTCCGGGTGGTACAGGAAAAACATTCCTAATTAATTTGTTGTTGGCTCAAATTAGATCCTCAGGTAAAGTTGCATCAGCAGTAGCTTCATCTGGTATAGCAAAAACTCTCCTTAGTGGCGGCAGAACTGCTCACTCGACTTTCAAGTTACCGTTAAATGTATTATTTGGTACAGAATATATTTGTCCGATTCGTAAAAATGGCCCTCTTGGAAAAATTCTTCAAGAAACCTCATTCGTTGTATGGGATGAGTGTACAATGAGTCACAGATCACATATCGAAGCAGTTGATCGAACATTAAAAGATCTTAGGTGTAATAATAAGTTTATGGGTGGCATAACATTTGTTTTCGCTGGTGATTTCCGTCAAACCTTACCAGTAATCCCTAAAGGTACTCGAGCTGATGTTATTAATGCTTGCTTAAAATCTTCCCCTATATGGAACTATGTTGAAAAACTTTATTTGCGAACAAACATGAGAGTTTATTTATGCGGAGGGGACGATATTTTTCCAGCACAGTTGTTGAAAATTGGAAATGGAACTTTAGAAAATGAAAACGGTTACATTTCTGTCAATCACATGATTGGACGGGTGGTCAATAACGTGGAAGAGTTGATTTCTACAGTTTATCCTGACATTTTTAATCTGTCCAATAAATCTTATCAGTGGTTATGTGAAAGAGCTATTATCTCTCCGAGAAATATAACAGCAGGAGAAATTAATGATATCATCCTTCTAAAATTCGATGGACACTCACGTGAAATCTATCTATTGATACAGTTACATCAACAGATGATGCTATTCATTATCCACAAGAATTTCTCAATTCTCTTACTCCTTCGGGATTTCCTCCTCATAAGCTAAAATTAAAAATTGGTGCTCCAATTACATTATCACGTAATCTTCAACCACCGAACTTATGTAACGGTACAAGATTACAAATAAAATTGTTGCGAAATAATATTATAGAAGCCGTACAGGCCCAGCAAAAGGAGAAATGGCATTTATTCCAAGAATTCCCGTGATTCCCTCTGACTTGCCGTTTACTTTCAAATGGCTTCAATTCCCGGTTAAAGTTTCTTTTGCCATTACCATAAACAAAGCGCAAGGTCAAACATTCAAGTATGTAGATCTTCGTACAGAGTGCTTTTCACATGGGCAATTATACGTGGCATTTTCTCGAACTGGGGACCCGAATCATCTTATGATTTTAATTTCAACAGGAAATATAACAAAAAACATCATATACTCAGAAGTCTTATAAAATTCTTATTTTAATTCTTTTTTTTTTCTTCATCAACTTCAATCAAATTCTTGATTTAAAATGATCATTATTTCTTTTTTATCTGTATTTATTTTTATCATTTATAACGCTAGAAAAATTTCAATCCGTTTTCACTAACCGTTTTTTTATATTTACTTGCCGATCACATTAAACAATAATATTTGAATAAAAAATTCTACATATCATGGTCCGAAGGCAAAATAAACAACCAATCACGGGCGAAGCTGTGACGGGTCGGCTAGTATAATATATATAGTATAATATAATAGTATAATATACTATATAATACTTTTTTAAATTTTAATACAATGCACATATATATATTATACATCAGTAAATAAAATTATAAAATTAAGCTTTTGTGTTCTTTAAAAAATATTTTCGATTACTCGAATTTTTTTTACCAATTCGAGTTATCGAGGTTCCACTGTGATTGAATTACAGATAAATGAAACGTAAAACGAAAACATATTACTTTTTACGTACATGTATTTTAATAAATAACAAGTTTTACTAAATTGATCCCCTCACACTTCACACGAATAATAGCCCACTCATGAATAAATATCTGAGTCGACACTGTATGAATACGATCTCATTAAACCATAATAGTGTATAGAAAGTTAAGAAACTTTAGGTTATTGTAATATACTAATTTATATATATATATATATTATCACATATTACTATAGCATGTGAGTAAAATGAAATTAACGATATCAATTGTAATTTACAATTAATTTACTTCAACAATAAAATTACGCATATATCAGAGCCGTCCTAAGGATTTTTAGGGCTTGGGGAAAATTAATTTAGGTGCCCCTCAATCGTCACAATAACGTATATATATTTCGCATAGCACGTTATGAGCCACACATTTTATCTTATTTAGTACTAATATAACAAAATAATAATAATAAAATAAACATATAAATAGAAAATTTAACAAAATAAAACGAAATAAATATATAAGATATATTTCGTAGAGAAAAATATTTTAAAAATAATATATCAATATCAATGATCTCTAACGGTTAACGCCGAATATTTTAAATCAATCTGAACTTATCAGAAATTAATAATAATTAATTCAAATTAACCTGGTTGTTAATAATTATGCTTAGAGCCGCAGCGATTTGTATGCCTACGAAACCAGTTAGACTTCGGCGGCTGATCGCAACGGCTTAACCGCGCCTTGGAAACCTTCACCCAATACCGTTGATTTATTTATCATCGATCCCGGCGTTTTCAGTTTGAAGTGGTATAATGTGTCAATTAATACATACGAGTATCATCCACAACCAGTACCCGAAGTAATAATTATTCCGTTCGATAATTAATTTGGGCTGAAAATATACGTGGAGTGAAAACATCTGCAATACTTATTCGTCTAAGGATTTTATTACGGTACCGACAATGTATATAGATGTAATTTGATAAGACCATAAGATATTTTATACGTCTGAAAAGTGACATAAAAAAGAAATTGCAGTACAGTGTTATTATATTTACTTTTCTCTAGTCTCGGTCAATTTTTTAAACGAGCAATGTCTGAAGCTTTTATTAATATTATTATAGTAAAAAATAGATAGATAGAAAACAATTTATAAAATATTTCCGTTAAGAAATATTCGATTTCTACAGCCAAAAGTTGTTATTGGATTATTAGAGTAAAAACAACAATACATTTTTTTTTTTGTTTATCGATATTAAATTGAAATTGTCAAAAATAAAAAATTGCCAGTTAATATGTTTAATGCAGTCATAATGTTAACAAATTTCACCCTAAGTGTAATTCAAGTTATATCGTAATGATATACGTCGAAAATACTTCGTATTATTACTTACGTATTTTGAAAACTACAAATAAATGATACCGTTCTCAATCCATGTTATTCTCAAAATTGTTCTTTACAACAATAGTTCAAATGCTTTTAGCTTATTTGAAATTGTTTTGGTTAGGATCCACGCAAAAGAGTTGAGAACACAACACCTTAGAAGTCGTTACACAGTTGTGTGTGAAGATAGGTCGTGGCATTTGAATATTGTACTCATTGAGTTAAATACACTTTTGGCTTTTTCTATGTGGCATTTTATTTATGAAGATGTATCAATGTTCCTTTTATATGTATTCATACGTAAGTTCTACAAAATTTTGAAATTTAGTAAATTCAAAAATAATTATCTACATATTTCCTGAATACTTTAGATAAAATCGAATGTAAATAATGTTACAAGAAACGTAAAAAATTTATTCCTTTGGAACAAGGACGGGAAGTATCTTAGATATTTGTATTTAAGAAATATATCTCGGATACATTTGTATCTTTTAATATTTGTAAACATAGGCGTGCGCACGGGGGTGGCCGGGTGGGCCGCAGCCCCCCCTGCGGACTCTGGCTTTTTCTTTAATAAATGTATATCTATACTATACAAGATAGCGAACATTTTTACATTTTACATGAATAAAATGAAGCCCGTTTTAATCTTATAATATAGAATTGATATCTGTGAATAAATGTAATAAAGTTATTAGTTATTAATCAGAACTTGCATATAATATAAAAATGGAAGATGTAATTGATACATTCAAAAACCTTACTCCCGTGGACAAAAGGATAGCGTTGTAAATAGTATAATAATATGTAAATAAGAATTTCTTAGATATAAATTGTGTAAGTTTAAAAAGTATTTATTTTTATATTTGCATATTGAATTAAATAAATAATTTATAAAATTTAAAATATTTAATTATACTAGTAGTCTTTAGTACAAGAATCTTTGGTTCACTTTTTTAAGGGGCCCCCCCTGCGGACAAAGTCTGCGCACGCCTATGTTTGTAAAATGTATACATTTATATTATATACATACATACATATATAAAAATATAATAATTATATAATAACATTTTACTTATACGTAAATATAAATACGTACGTATCATATGTTTCAACGAAAATAAAATTATTAGTCAGCTGCTAATAGACGAGTTACGATTTTTGATTTTCTGTTAAATCGCCTGGAGATGAAATTCATATTGATCCAATATTGTAATCATCATAATTCAGGTAGTAAAAAGTAAAGCCCTTGGCAAGGTGATAGGAATAGGAACAGCACTACAATCCTTGTTAAATTCGCTCTTACCAATGTCAGCGGCGTTATTAATGTCCGGTGTTGATCTGTTGTAATCCTGTCAAGTTCGTCGTCTTATGCCCGTAAAAATGTATGCCCAACGTTACAACAATCTAAATTTCGATTTATAATTCAATACAAATTACTTTGATGTTTAACTGTATAAGATACTTTTA